TCTTTGTTGTCTCCTCGCACTTCAGCTGAATACGTTTTGAAAATTTCACGGACTCCAGGTCCTGCGAGATGTAGAAGTAGAGCTCGCTTTTGCACTTTGTCTTCAACCCCCGAAGCTGCCACAAATAGTTCGAACTCAGCTTTCCACTTGTCCCAGCGTTGAGCCAGTGTGGCTGGTTCCCCAATGCAGTCGAAGGGAGATATGCATGGTAATCCACTTAATGTGACCGCCATCCTCGTCACCAAAATGTGGTGTTTGCGGAACAAACAGAGACTGGATTTGACAACACAACGTTTTAATCCGCCATTTTAGATGGTCTCTTCTATTCAAGCACATGGTCACTTCCAAATAAGGAAATACCATATATGGACATACACTACAGTGGCATGCATGATCAGAGATGTTGAGATGTAAAATGATGATACTCAGTCCAATGGAGTCAGTATCCTATATGAAACATTTTATATTCGAGACTTTTTAGTTCCTTTTGTAATGAAGACGATTATTTTGACATTATAGCAGATTATTTGTACGAAAGACAAAAATAAATGTTTTCAGGCAATAAATTTGTTCCAAACCTGCACACCACCTTTTAGTGATATGAAAACTACAGGAAGGTGGAGAGGGGGTGGGGCGGGGCAGGGGTCTCTGACCATGTAACAACGTACTCTAGTTTCATTTGCCGGGGAGGTGGGGTTACTGGGGTGGGTAGGACAAAAAAGCGAGGCTGCAGACATGCTATGTTCAACATAATGTAATGGTGTTTTTCTCTGAAAATCACAATATCAATTTCATGTAAGATGCATTTAACTTTACACAATGTTTCACCTTTATTGGTGAAAGAAAACTACAACAACATTCCAAGATTGAGGGATTTCATCTCCAGTGTGACAAAATTGTTTGAAGAAATTGTTGCCTTTTCCAATAACTTCGTAAATNACAACACAACGTTTTAATCCGCCATTTTAGATGGTCTCTTCTATTCAAGCACATGGTCACTTCCAAATAAGGAAATACCATATATGGACATACACTACAGAGACTGGGCCATTTTTCAACTCAGAATGGCAGAGCCAATCAAATACAAAAGTAACAATAACCAATCAGAGACGCGCTGACGTGCACACAAGTGGTTTTCTTGGTACGCTTTTTTTCTTTCAACACAGCACAAAGCATGTAAGAACTAAATAACTATCAATTAAAAAAAAAAAAATGAGATTCATACCTCCATGGCAAATTGACCAGAGTAAGTTCCCTAAGAAAGTCAAACCAAAACAAAATCGTTATGTTCACATTTCTGGGCAACAATTTCGTATTCAGATACAAGGGACTGAAAGAACGCATAATCAATAAACTGAACACTTAGCAAGTGCTGCTTAACCCATTTGACTCCCGGAGCTTTTTGCTAAAAACGCATTTTTTGGACATTTTCAAGATTTTCAGCCAGGATATGAGCCAACCTAGCTCCAATCTACCCAAACAGGCATTTGCAACATGACAGCATGCCTTTCTTTCCACTAGCATCGCATTTTGCCGCATTATTTTTTGCCTGNAAAAAAAAAAAAAAAAAAAACATTTGCAACATGACAGCATGCCTGTCTTTCCAGTAGCATCGCGTTTTACCACATGTTTGCTCGGGCATGCGCAGAAATTATAACGTCTCTAGGCTTTTCGGCTTTTTTGTTTTTTTTTTCGCTTTTCCTTTTTCTTTTTTTCTTATCTATTTGCTGCAGTGATTGACCTTCTACTGGGCTTGCTTCCAGTTCAAAAATTTCTGAGAAAGCATCATCGAGACAGGCAATTAAACACTCAAAACATCGATGTGCTTTATTACACGGTTTATTACTATCCTACCAAAACAAAGTAACAACAACCTTTTTCACGTCAGTTTTAAGTGTTTCCTCAAAGCGCATCAGCGTTTGTAGCGTTTTGGCGTGGACGAAGAATCGAAAACGCATTAGTGTAGACAAAATCTTCAAATACTTTCTAATGTCTTGGAAAAGAAAAAAAAAACATACCGTCATTGTTGAGCTCTGACCAGCTGCTAAGATTCCTATACCCCAAATATACAAAGCTGCAGGCCCGAACATGCACCCAAGAAACACACCCTGAAACACAAACAACACGTGTTATTTAAACACGTCTTATAAACCAAGTGCGAGGGCCGTACTGGGAAAATATCAGCCCTTGGTCACTCTGCTCAGATTCACACAACTTAGGGCTGATGTTGTCCCAAGAATAGGACCAAGCAATCTCGTCAATGACAGATTTATTACGGGTGCTGTTTAGCAAAAAATCTCACGAACACAGGACGGAAAGACGCCCTTAACTTCGAGCGTGCAATTCGGGTTGACTCGACTTAGTGTTATGATGAAATAATCTGCAACAGCTCTGGTCGCACGAGACATTTTTTCTCAAGGGAATGGTACACTTCCTTGAAGGAAGTAACCTTTCCACACGCAACCCGCCAGAAACATGCTATAACGTGCAGGAAACAATCCCTCGTGACTACACCGCACATTGCACATTGTATCCTAATTCCCAAGTCACCGAACACCACTCTTCCTGCGATAGCTTTACTTAAATAAAAAACAAATCAATTCCTTACCCCTTTATAAAGATCTCCTTTGATGGTGGAATTCCATTGAAGCTATAGTTGCGTGTACACACAAAGAAAGAGAAATTAATATTTCCTGGCCCAAGGTAAGACTCTTGAAACTATTTTTAACAGAAAATAAAAGAGATGGATCAATAGAGAGTCAGTAAGAACTGAAGGCTCAAGAAAGGGGTTTCATAAGGGACATGCGCGACTAAAGTGTCACACAATTTACTGTGACACAACATCGGACTCGCTGCATGTGACTTGGGAACTTTAATTGTGTTTTTTAAAAAGCAACCTTATACAGTCGAACCCCGGAGGGGGGGGGGGGGGGGGGGGGGGCTGCAGCCCCCTCCAGTTTCAGATATTTTTGAAATTTTTGGGCAAAACGCTGATGATTCNTATTTATGACCTGACCCTTAAATCAAAACCCAGTTTCAGACCTGCGTTATAATTAGTTCCCTAGTTCAGACCAATGTTAAATTACCGTAAACATAATCTGTGAAGGGCTTTTGTTGATTTTCTTTCCGATAATGATGAAAAAGTGGCCTCTTCTTAAATACATACCCATATCAAGGCAAGAGTGCAAAAAACCATACCTTTTTATGACCAAAATGGCCAAAATCAGCTAAAATCGATACCCTTTTTACGACAAAACAGCAAAAAAACCATACCCTTTGGGGCCGCACATACAGGAGGTATACAAAGAGATTATGTGAATTCTGGTTTCGCTGGGGCTTAGTGAAATGTCCCTTATGTAGAGGAATTCACATGATTGAGGTGTCCATAAGGAGATGTTTGACTGCAAAAGTTTACAGGAGACACATCGAAGAAAATTTGTAAGAAATACTATTTACTTAGGGAACAAATTAAACATGTGGCTTTAGAATGGAACATGTACATGTGACTTCTAAATCACAATTATCCTTTCAATTAAGAGTCACACATGAATTCAAAACACAATCCGTGCATAGTGTACAGATGGTGTACAAAAGCCAGATTACTTTACAAATTAACGAGCGCGCTTTCGTAATTTTCTCAATCGTATAATAAATGACTAATCATATGAAAGCTCGGGCAATTAACAATTTACACTAATCGTGATATTTGATAGTTTAAACAAAGGAAATCATGACTGTAACAGTGTCTGGATACGATCATATCTGATCTAATTAGCATAGCTTTTTACGATTATATTTCTCCGGTTTCTCCTTAGTTTTAGTCTCGATTGAGAAGATATATCAAACACTCAAGACAACGATTGACGATATTTCCAAACACCTCGAAGTTCGTCACAAATACTCCGCTGCGCGTCGTATTTTCAACTCTCTTCTCGGTGTTTGAAAACGTGGTCAAACACGGTCTTTCGTGTTTGATATATTACTTCAAATTTGAGAGAATTTTCAAATATCACTCGAAGTGCAAATCCCCGATTGTACTCACATTCATACGATTACTTATGGTAATTTGAACCTTACATGATCTGATGAACTCGTGTTTACATTGAATATTGAAGCTTGCTTGATGTTGTTTGAGTTGCAGGAAGGATACTGAAAACAAAAGGAATTTTAAAATCAACTTATTGTGAACATTAAAATATCACCCATACAACAAGATAAATTGTTTACATCTTAAAGTACCTTATTACACATTACTTTCAAGGAAAAAGAAAGTGACATATTTGAAAAAGTGAAAGCTAAATGTACAACAATTGTCCAAATTCACGAAAATTATCATTCTTAAATAAACGGCCGCTTTAAAACTGTAACAGTAAGGGAGTTTGGCTGTAAATTTCAGTAGGCCAAATCTAAGTTGAAAGTCATTTGAAACTCGAACAACTCCACTCGATCCACAACCCTGGAAACGCGAAAACTTCGAGTCTCAAGCCTATAGTCACGAGAATCGAGAACTTCAAATTTCGAATCTCAAGTCAAGAGCTTTGAGTTGAGCTTCAAGTCAAGAACTTTGAGTTCTGAGCCAAAGGGTTCGGTTTCGAGACAAGGAAACAAAAAACTTATCGCTCGATTATCTCTTCAGAAGAAAAAAATAAACTTACTACAGTAATGTTGAAACTCTCAACAACAGCCTCACTGCAGCAGAATGAAATGGCCATAGCCCATTGCAAAAAACGTGAGAGGACTGGGAAAGAGTATGGTTGTTTTCCGTTTGTTTGAAAAGCTAAAGATATTCAAATGAAAGATCAACTAAATTTGAGAGTCTTAAGCAAGAATAGAAGTATTTAGAGGAGGAAAATGGCAAAATGATAGCTCTTCAAATATCACCTAAAATAGAGAGTTTGTATGGATTGGGTAGACAGGC